ATGTAGAAAAATGTTGATTTTGAAATATAGCTACATTTCGATCTATGTCTTCAGGAAAAATGCAAAACAGGGTGTGTTAAAATGAAAATCTAATTTCTCCCCCAACTCTAACAATAAAAACTGGGCATGTCTCAAGCACCCTTCAGGTTCCAAAATTGATTCTGACCCTGTTCCAAGTACAACCAAGACAGAAAAGGCTGGGCAAATTCCACTCACAGTTGGTTTTTAGATGTTCTTTTCAAGATGTGCATAAATCAGGCTGTCTCGTATTACCGCTCTGGGGGTATATCATTTACAACCACAAGCCTGGTTCCAGGAAAAGAAGACTTATCTCAATTTTTTTCAAGATTCCCTGGCATCTTCAACCATCCCAGTATTTGTAGAATAAATATTAAAAATGGCATTGCTTTCAAAAACACTTTGATGTTAGCAGAACAGCCATTTGTAAATTTTCAGGTTCTCCAGAAGTTTTGTTAAAGAACTGGGCTTGAAGGAAGGAGAGCTTAAAATACATTTTTGTTTGGTGTTCAGGGGCAGGAAACTAGAGATATTTTCCTCTGATTCATGTTATATACATTTTACTCCCACAATGCCGCTCTTTTCTGAAATAAACAAGGTTCTAACAACTACTCAGTCTCCCCTTAGCCAGGCCAGACCAGAACAGTAAATCAATTCCACAGAAAGCTAAAACTACTTTTATTGTGATAGGCTGTAATTACTGAATCTTGCAAGCCTCCCCTTCTGATCCTTCTTATAATCCAGTGAATTAGGGAGAGGTGTTTGCTTGAGCTGCTTCTGAATATTATTGCATAGTTCTGGATTTAAAAATGTTTCAGCCCCTTTCACCTAGGGAACAGTTCCTGCACATCTGCCTCAAGGTCATTTTCCTTACTCTCTATAAACAGACAATCAGCCTCCAACATCTATGCTACAGGTAGTCCTCAACTTACAACCATTCATTTAGTGACCATTCAAAGTTACAACAGCACTGAAAAATGTTGACTTATGACCATTTTTCACACAAGCACTGCAGCATCCACACAGTCATATGAACATTTAGGCGCTTGGTAATTGGTATGTATTTATAATGGTTGCAGTGTTCCTGGGGTCATGTGATCACTTCTTGCGACCTTCTGACAAGCAAAGTCAATAGAGAAGCCAGATTCACTTAACAACCAAGTTACTAACTTAATAACTGCAGTAGTTCATTTAGCAACTGTGGCAAGAAAGGTCATAAAATGCAGCAAAAACTCACTTAAGAGCTGTCTTTTGGGCTCGATTGAGGTCATAAGTCGAGGACTACATATACTACATTTTGGAGCTGCAGTTCTTGAAAATCAGGGTTTTTATATCATTCTGAGGCAAGGCCAACTCTGAAAATTCCAGTCATCGAAATATAATTACAGCTGGGAAACAACCCAAAAAAGCAAAAATCCTAGATTGTTCATATATATGTATCATGTATTTTATATCTTTGCTACCACCTGGATCCCATACATGGTGAGTTCCCCATAAACTTTCAGGGTCTAGGTCAGTGGTTCTCAACCTTTTTAATGCCGCGACCCCCCAACTGGTCGTAAGTCGAGGACTACTCAACTGGTCGTAAGTCGAGGACTACTCAACCGGTCGTAAGTCGAGGACTACTCAACTGGTGCAGCACCGTTTGCAGAATGGGACTTTTGGCGGGCTCAGCAGGGCAGAGACAGCCTGGACAATTCCTATTGGCTTTTGAAAGCCAATAGAATTAGACTCTATTCAAGAGAGTCTATTCTATTGGCTTTCAAAAGCCAATAGAATAAAAGGGAGTAGCACAGCTAAGGAAAAGGGGGAAAAAATGGCGGACTGCGTTGTTTGGCGACCCCCGTGAAATGGTCGTTCGACCCCAAATGGAGTCCCACCCACAGGTTGAGAACCGCTGAGCTAGGTGGTGGTGTGGTGGTTCTTAAAAAAAGTCAAGGGGTCTCCACTGTACAATTGAAAACTGACTCTTGTACATGTATCAATGCAGATGGCTGAATACATTTTATTCAAGGCAGCAACAATAATGAATTAAAATACAATATCATGATTTATTCCAGAATTTCAGGTTGGCACTTCCGTTCTCAATTCCTTCAATAAAAAATCACTGTTTTCATTCCACTATTGGTTTAATCAGCCAGAGATCAGATTCCTAATATAAATAGGGACAGATTCATCAGTTTTTCATCCAATCGAGTTTCCAGAAGAAGGAACCAGCAAAACATTTTAGCTCCCAAAAGCAACTCTTCCATCATGCCTAGGTGACCTTCGATGCACCCACAGAAAATTGCAAAATCAGGAATTTAAGTATGAGGCTGGTATTTTGATTTGAACAGATGTGAAGTCCATCTCTGGCTAAAATATTTTTGAGCGTGAAGAATGAAGGCATCTATCTCCATATTTCTTCTGCATTCTTCCCTTTCTGCTTTCTCCTAAGGAAGGGATTTAGACCTAGAGAAACTGGCTTTTTTCAGGATGCTAGTGGAGTCTGCTATGTCATTAATAATAATAAATTATTAAATATGTATGCCACCAGACCCTTAACAACTCTAGGCAGCTATAGCTGTTTTTAATGCCATACCTAAACAGTACTTTGATGTTGTAAGGAAGCTACTTCCAACCCTGCACGTTAAAGAAACAGCCTTAAGATTCAGGCTAACCTGTATATTTAAAACTGCAATGAAAGAAAAATTGTGGCAGAAGAGTAAATATATTTACCCCACTTGTGTAAATCTGATTCCTGAAATAATCCATTTTTAGGATCAGCATAGTAATCCTAGTGTAGTCAGCTTGCTCAATTAGAATAGCACACTAAGCTGTAAAAAATCTCAACTACAGATAGTCCTCCACTTACAACCATTCAGTGATCCTTTGAAGTTAGTACTGAAAAAAGTGACTCATGATCATTTTTCACACATGGCCATTTAAGCATCCTCATAGTTATGTGATCAAAATTTGGATGCTTGGCAAACTGGCTTGTAATTATGCTGGTTGCAGTTTCATGGGGTCATGTGATCACCTTTTGAGATTTTCTGACAAGCAAAGTTAATAGAGAACTGCAGTAGTTCACTTAATAAGAAATGGAGCAAAATTAACTTAACAATTGTCTTGTTTAGCAATAGAGATGTTGAATTCAATTGTGGTTGTTAAATCACAGATTACCTGCACTAAATGGTTAACATTAACCAAGCTTGCAGTTGCAAGATCTTTGACTTGGTTAAGCATTCTGTGTTAGCCACCTGCACTGGTTCAACACGCTAAATTTGGTTGTTATGTTTCTGGCTTAGGGTGTCGTACAAACTGTCTCTTTGACTGATACAGAGTTAAATATACTGTGCAAACTCAAAAAAACTGGATTAATTCAGTCATGACATATAACCTCTGATGTGCAGGAGGTTGGACGAGAAGATCTCCAAGATCCCTTCCAGCTCTATTCTGATTGATTGTTTGAGGAGACTTAAATTAAGATAAGGGGTCTGGAGACTAAACCATATGATGAATGATTGAGGAAATTAGGTATGTCCAGTCTAACAAAGAAAAGGACAATGGTTGACATGATAGCAGTCTTCCAATATTTGAGAGGCTATTACAGAGAACAGAGGATAGATGGGTTGAAAGAAAACTCTTCATCAGGGCCCAGTCCAAGCCAGGAATAAACAAAATGGAGATTGCTTTAGAAAGAAAGTTGTAGTTTATTGAAGAGGAGAGCCAGACAGAAAGATGGCTCTGGGAAAGCTGACCAAATGTAGCTTGGATTGGTGGGTTTTTATATCTTCTTGGGCTTTTGAGGTTGTTTCCTGTTCAGGTTTGAGGCTTTGTATTTTCTGTGCCATGTATTTTGACCTGAGTCTTTGTGTGCCCTTTTGGTATTGGTGTGTTAATTCTATCAAGTCCCCAAAGGCCATGTCTTTTAGAGTTTAGGTGGGGTATGTAGTTTTTAGGAGTCTTTATCTTCCTAATCTCATCAGATTCTTGCTTCCTGGCTCCAACCTTCCTGAATGGATTATTACATCTGCATTTCTAAAAGCTGGTTTCTGCTGAGAGTCTGCTTGGGGCTATTAAGAAAAACTGGGCTTGCTTTTCTGCCTTTAAGATCCTTTGGGGAAATACATTCTGCTTTTTTAATATTCCCCCAAATACTTCTTTCTCTGGATTCTTCCCACAGACGTAATCTCCAAAGCTACCTGAAGGCAGAATAAGAGGCAATGGATGGAAGGAAGATCATTAAAGAGAGATCCGTTAAAGAGAGAATTAAGGAAAAATCCCCTGACAGTGAGAACTATCTCACTGTTCAGTGGAACAGCTTACCTCCAGTTGTTGTAGGTGCTCATCACTGGAGATTTTCATGAAGAAACTGGACAGCCATTTGTCCAGAATGGTATAAAATCTTCTCCTTGAGCAGGGTGTTGGACTGGAAGACCTCCAACTCTATTATTTTATGCTCTAAGAAAGCTCTGTCTGATTGAAAATGCTTGTTTCTCCCTAATCAGTCTAATCTAATGGGAATAATGCATAATCTTCATATATTAATCCCAGGACAATAATGGTGACTTCTGCAAAGCTATCTGCAACCAAAAGTTCTTTGCTTCATCCTTTCTCTTCTGCAGATCGTACATGAATTTAGTCCCAATAATGATGAATCTGACGTTTGTTTAAATGTTGGGGTTCAGCTGAAAAGAGACACGTGGTATATAGGGCCTCCTGCTTGAGCAAGGGATTGGACTAGAAGACCTCCAAAGTCCCTTCCAATTCTGTTAAATCTGTTAAATCGGCGTTATTTAGAGCCGACAAAAAGGTATCTAACACGCTGCCACAACAGTTTTTTTTTCTCGTCACAGGCATCTGTTTTTCACATTCCCCGTTCCTCTTTAGAAAGAAAACCAGTAAAAATTGCGCTCTCAAATTGAACTAGGGTCGAACCCGTTCAGGCACGGCAATGGGCACCCTTCATCGCGACAAGAGAAAGGAAGGACCTCTTCGCGAAATAGGAAGTTTCCAGGGGGACAGTCCTCGAGCGGCCATGGGGTCCAGGTCCAGGTCCAGGTCTAGAGAACGGCGTCGGCGGAGAAGTCGATCTAGGTCTGAAGAGCGAGAAAGTCGAGGGAGGATAAGAAGAAGAAATCGGGAAGGGAGGTGAGATGAACGAATGCGGTTCCGAGATTCAGGATCATAGAGTGCAGAATCATAGAGTTACTCGATTGTAGAAAGGGTTTAGGAATAAGCTCCTGGTGGGTGCTTCTTCTCTGGAGTGAATAACTTACATTTAGGGAGCTGGACTCAAATGAGAGTTTACCGGTGAGAATTTTAAACCCCAAGTCCTGCTTTCTATCCTGTGAAGTTTGGATAAGCAATGGAGCAGTTTTTAAGGGGAATGGCTGGGGAGCAATAGCTATAACTTTGAAGGCAGAATCTGCTGCCTTGCATCCCCAGCACTCTTGGGAGTGAAAATATGAAACTCCATATTTCATGGTAGAATCAGTAAGTTCTACCTTTAGGCCAGTGTTTTTCAATCTTGGAACATTTAAGATGGGTGGGCCTCAACTCCCAGTATGCAGGTTGGGGGATTCTGGGAGTTGAGGTCCATGCATCTTAAACTTGCCAGAGTTGAGAAACAACATACTAGACTTCAAAACCCAATTGTCTCAATAACAGTAATAACAGTACCCATTGTTATTGTTGTTAGCAAAGAAGTTGCTAAATGAAACTGTGACTGTGCTTAGGATCTTGCTTCAGCTTTCCTTTGTTTTACGGATATGCAAAAATTGTAAATGCAAGAATTCGTTGTAAAGTTACTTTTTCTTCACCATCATAACCGTCATTACATGAGATAGTCACTAAACCAGGATTATCTGTATAACTCAAGTTTTTTTCCACTGCAGTCTTACAGGGCATTTGTCTTCATTACACTCTATTAATAGAGCATAAGAATCTAATCTGCTGTCTGAATTAGGTAATAAGAAGAGGAAAGGGAAGTGGAAGCTTAATAAATTAAAAGCATGTGCAGTAATAGTTATTGGAGATTATTTTACAGAATAATCTGATGTGGGGAATAAATGTTTGTAATCTCATTTCACTATAAACCATTTGTCACAATGAGAGAAAGCTTTCTGAGAAGTGTCCAACTTCTCATTGTAAGCAGGATTTTATGGACTCCCTTATTTCAACTATGACAAACTAAGAACAAGCAGGTAGTCTGCTAAAAGTCACTTTTATGTCAATCTTAAGTGGCCATATGAAAAAGCCAGGGAATAATAAATTGAAAGGTATCAGTGTTTTCAGTTCAAGTCATCTCAATGTAAATAGCTCGGACTTTGTCTGCATCAGATGGTGCTTAATTGTTTTACAGTAGATTTTGTGGGAGATAAATTCTGGGCCACTTCAGCAAGATCTTTGGCAATTCAGTTTGGTGGGTGTAATGTATTGATGAATGCTGATTTAGCTGAGCCAATAAGCTCTTAAGCTGAATGCAAAAATGTAAATATACAACAAGGATGAGAAAGATTTGGGGGCCAAGGACTGCTTTTAACAGCTTGGGGGACTGAAGTCTTCAGAGTGCATGGGGTTACATCACAAAAGAGCAAAGATTAGGACGGGGAAGGGTTTTGTTCTTTTTTAATAGTGATATGCCTATTTTAAAATTTAAAATGCATCTTTTCCTCTTTTTTCCTACCACAAAGCGTTATTGGTTTGCAGCTATTATGCTCAGAGGGGGCTGTAAGGATCACAAAGAAGGGTCTCAGAGGCCATAAGTGTTAAACTAACACCAAAGCTTTTATTTTTAAGCTCAGAGGAAGAGAGCCAAAAATGGGGAAAGAAAAAAGAAAAAAGCAAGGACCAGCATCACAAGAGACACAAGAGACATTCTTCACATCACCGGGAATGGTCTTCCAACTCAGATTCCTCTTCAGAAAAAAGGGGCCACAAAAGCGAGAGGAGGGGGAAGAAGTACCGGAAGCGTTCTGAATCCAGGTCCTCCGTGTCTTCCATGACATCCCAATCATCCTCCCACTCACAGAGCTCCAAGGGTGACTTCGGTGAGCAGCTAAGCCTTCAGGAACGCTTGAGATTGAAAGAAGAGAAAAAAAACCAAAAGGAGCTGATGAAGGCTCTGGAAACCCCTGAAGAGAAACGGGCCCGACGTCTAGCCAAGAAGGAGGCCAAGGAACGGAAAAAACGGGAGAAGATGGGATGGGGAGAAGAGTATATGGGTTACACCAATACCGACAACCCTTTTGGAGACAACAACCTTCTAGGGGCTTTCATCTGGAGCAAGGTAAGTCCTGAATTCATGTCTACTGTCTCAAGACAGGTGGTGCAGGGTAGTAGTGAATTATCTCAAGAGAACCACCTCTGTAAGGTGCGGTTTCTTGCTCATAATCTGATTCAACCTTCAGGGTTGTTGTGAAAGCTGTGGAGTGAGAGGTTAAGATTAGACAATAATAATAATAATAATAACAGCAACAACAACAAAGTTGGAAGGGTCCTTGGACGTCATCTAGTCCAACCCCCTGCTCAGGCAGGAGAACCTATACCAGTGATGGCGAACCTTTTAGAGACCGAGTGCCCAAACTGCAACCCAAAACCCACTTATGCATCGTTGGGTGCCGGGTGGGTGTGGCCCATTGGGTGGGTGTGGCCTGTTGAGTAGGTGTGGCCCATTGGGTGGGTGTGGCTGCAGTGGTAACAGACTGGGTGGGACTAAAAAGTTCAATCAATTCCAACTTTGCAAGATCTTTTTTTTTCCCGCGAAAAATTGAAATTGACTGAACCTTTTTTTTTTGTGCATAGCGGCAGAGGCCTAAAGTGAAAAGGTTTTATAAAACCCAACGATGGCATGCGTGCCCACAGAGAGGGCTCTGAGTGCCGCCTCTGGCACCCGTGCCATAGGTTTGCCACCACTGCCCTACACCAATTCAGGCAAATAGCTGTCCAGTGTCTTCTTAAAAACTTCCAGTGTTGGAGCATTCACCACCTCTGGAGACAGGTTGTTCCACTGATTAATTGTTCTAACTGTCAGGAAGTTTCTCCTTAGTTCTAGGTTGCTTCTCTCCTTGGTTAGTTTCCATCCACTGCTTCTTGTCCTGCCTTCAGGCACTTTGGAGAATAGCTTGACTCCCTCTTCTTTGTGGCAGCCCCTGAGATATTGGAACCCTGCTATCGTGTCCCCCCTCGTCCTTCTCTTCATTAAACTAGACATACCCAATTCCAGCAACTGTTCCTTATATGTTTTAGCCTCCAGTTCCCTGATCATCTTTGTTGCTCTTCTCTACTCTTTCTAGAGTCTCAACATCTTTTTTATATCGTAGTGACCAAAATTGGATGCAGTATTTCAAGTGTGGCCTTACCAAGGCATTGTAAAGTGGTATTAACGCTTCACGTGATCTTGATTCTATCCCTCTGTTAATGCAGCCTAGCACTGTGTTGGCTTTTTTGGCAGCTGCAGCACACTGCTGGCCATATTTAAGTGATTGTCCACTAGGACTCTGAGATCCCTCTCACAGTTACTACTATTGAGCAAGGTACCACCTATACTATACCTGTGCATTTGTTTTTTCTTGCCTAAATGTAGAACCTTACTTTTTTCACCATTGAATTTCATTTTGTTAGATAGCACCCAGTGTTCTAGTCTGTCAAGATCCTTCTGTATCTTAAGCAGATAGATAGACCAACCTCCTTCCTTGAGCAATCTTCCTCAACCTGGTGCTCTTCTAGAAAAGTAATAATAATAATAATAATAATAATAATAATAATAATAATAATAATAATAATAATAATAATAATAAAGTTGGAAGGGATCTTGGAGGTCATTAAGTCCAACCTCCTGCTCAGGCAGGAAACCCTACACCATTTCGGACAAAGGGCTGTCCATTTCAGTTCCCATAATCCATCATTTATGCCCTATAGCTGTGATTGAAGAATGATGGACATTTAAGTGTAAAATATCTGCCAAACTCCAAGCTGTGGAAGTCTATTGAAAATCACAAGTACAATAAAACTTCAAATTGATATGGAGATATTCCAGAAGAAATAGATGGAATTTGTTGCTGGCGTCATGAAAGGGGTGGGAAAATTTGAAGTATATGTTTGGGGAAAATCATATTCTCAGATCAATTATTTTACCCAGGCAGATTGGCTGCTCTTGTCTGATGCAAAGAATGTGTACATAATCTCAAAATGTTTATTCAAGCCTTGATGAAAATTAACAGAGAGCAAATACTGCCTTAAAGTAATGTTCACTATAGCATAAGTACACATAAACCCATGATTTAAAAGGTTGTTTCTTACATTTCTTATTTCAATAATATTCCATTCAGGTATAAAGTTAATATTATAAGATTATCATTGGTTAAAATGCATATAGAGAGCCTGTTTAGTGTAGTGGTTAAGGCATCAGGCTAGAAAGCAGAAGATGGTGAGTTCTAGTCCTATCTTGTATAAAGAGATGGGTGACGTTGGGCCAGTCATGCTGTTTCAGTTTTAGGAAGTAGAAAACAAGGGAAAATCACTTCCAAAATCTTGCCTAGAAAAATGCAAGGACTAGTCCAGGCAGTCCCAGGAGTCAACATTGATTTGAAGGTATTCATAAACAATATCTAAAGCTTTATTTAACGGAACTATAAGCATACGAGAAAGCCAGTTTGGTGTATTGGCCAAAGGCTGGGCTAAAAACCAAGAGACTGTGAGTTTTATCTTAGCCACAAAGCCAGTTGGGTGCCTTTGCTCCCTAACAATTCTGGGAAGAAGATGTCTATGGAGATTCTCAATCATATAGGTCATGGTTGTCCCAAAGGTACCTTTCAAAAGGCAGCTGGACTTTTTTTGTTTTTTCTTTGAAAACATTTCACTTCTCATCCAATAAGCTTCTTCAGCTCTGCTGAAGAACTAAGAAGCTTCTTGGATAAGAAGCGAAATATTTTCAAAGAAAAAAAAGAATGTCCAGTTGCCTTTTGAACAATATCTTTGGGACCTGGGAGGAAGAAGACAATGGCAAATCACTTCCAGTGTTGTCCAGAAAACTACAGGGACTTATTGCTACCATTTGAGCCGGACCTACCTACCTACCTACCTACCTTCCTTCCTTCCACTCCTCCTTCACCACCACCACCACCACCTCCTTTTTCTTTGATATTAGTTTGATTCTTAGGGTTTGGTGGTTTGTGATTTTTTTTTTTTAGGCTTTGGAAAAAAAGGGAATTGGACACTTAGAGGAGAAAGAACTGAAAGATCGGAACAAGCGGATCCAAGAAGAAAATCGCCTTGAGTTGCAGAAGGTAAGAATCAAAATAAAATAAATGGAGAGAATCCTTTGAATCTTGCATTGCTGTTTTAACCCAGAACCACTTGTTTAATTCCAAGATATGAACTTGCAGTGTACATTGGTGAACTGACCCAAATTATTTTTCTGTATTTAAGTTCTTTCAGTTATCAATCAGATAGCACATTTCAGTTCTGAATTTAAGATACCACCTTTCTTAAGACCTACATTTTCATACAAAATGGTCCAGATACATGGAGTGAAATCCAAGACAAAGTATACTTTTTTTTTTCTAATCAATGTTTTTCTAGCTGGACAAATTCCAAATGTCTGACTTTTAGCCATTGCAGAGAATTTTGAGAGATAAAGTCCTGATTGAGAAATCTTGAAATAGATAGGGACCTAGGATATTTTATTTCTAATGGAACTAATTACAAATATTTTATTTAATAGTTTATTTTGTTTAGCCATTAAATTTATATACCGCCTAGCTCACTTTCAAGAAACTTATGTTAAGACAAGCTGTTCGCTCACACAGCTTGTCTTATTAGATGTTATAAGGGGAACAAAGCTATTGAGATCTTAACTTTATACTTGAATTAATTTTATGTATTTTTTGGAATGAACCATTTTCTTTTGGGAAATGCAGATGTTTCTTCTTTATAAAAATTTCCATCAAGGAAATTTTTCAACAACAGCAGTGAAATTCTGGTTTCATTGTTGTTGGTTTGAACAAAAGAAGCTGTGTTTTATAGAATGAAACTGCTGTTTTGTCAAACTCAATCTAAATGATTGGTGACATCAACCCTTCCAGATTGGGAAACAGCTTTTTCTTATACTTTTCTAAAATGCCAGAAATTAAACCAGAGATACTGATCAGAAATTTATCTGGAATCAGTATTTGGGAAAGTTGGCATTTCAAAGATATAATGTGTTTTATTTCTAATAAACATCATTTTTCTCCACATTCAAATAGCAATAGCACTTAGACTTATATACCGTTTCACAGTGCTTTACAGCCCTCTCTAAGCAATTTGCAGAGTCAGCATATTGCCCCCAACAATCTGGCTCCTCATTTTATCTATCTTGGAAGTCTGGGGTCAACCTTGAGTCGGTCAGGATTGAATGTCTGGCTATGGGCAGAGTTAGTCTGCAATACTGCATTGTAACCACTGCACCACCATAGCGCCAAAGAAGCTTTTAGTTTCTTTGAATGTAGTCCTCAGCGTTCGCAAAGAGGCCTAGATGTCAACGCTGCAAATATTGTATATTCTTGCTTTTGACAATATGTAGAATTGTCTGGTAAATATGGGGTTAATAAAGAGCAGAAGGGGCGTTGGGGGTAAAGCAGGAAAGAAAGAGGAAGAAAACATTTGACCTTCACACTAATTGGATAGTGTGAGATATGAGGGCTAATTTAGGGAGGGAACATGCTGATAATTTATCTGCTCAGAGGAAGAGAACTTAGATTCTAGCATCCCTCCGTTGTGCCTGTGCTGACATTTTGTAACAATAAAAGACTTTTAGGAAAATAAATGCCTGGAAGTTCTTTGGAATGTTTCATTAGCCGGAACCACAACATCAGCCTTGTTTTTTCCCCCCATATCAATGTACTTTAAATTTTTGCACCACTATAACTACAGCTAGTTCTTTACTTATGACCACAATTGAGCCCAAAATTTCTGTTGCTAAGTGAGACATTTATTGAGTTTTGCCCCATTTTACGACTTTTCTTGCCACAAATGTTACATGCAATTCTTAAGCTAGTAACACGCCTGTTAAGTGAATCTGGCTTCCCCATTGACTTTGCTTCTCAGAAGGTCACAAAAGGTGATCACATGACCCTGGGACAATGCTACCATCCTAACTGAGTCAGTTGTCAAGCGTCATGAGTTTTGATCATGTGACCATGGGGATGCTGTAATACAGGGGTCTGCAACCTGGACAACTTTTAAGACTTGTGGACTTCAGCTCCCAGAATTCTGGGAACAAGTCCACAAGTCTTAAAGTTGTCAAGGTTGCGGATCCCTGCTGTAATAGATGTAAGTGTGAAAAATGGTCATAAGTCACTCTTTTCAGTGCTATTGTAATTTTGAATGATCACTAAATGAACTGTTGTAAGTCGAGAACCATCTCTATTGACATCAGCATGCTAATGGGAGCCTTGTTCATTTGCATAAGACATTTTTCTGGTTCCACGTGTTTTCAGAAAACCCACATCTCTGAGTTGTGAACCTAGGATGTCATCCATGAATTCTGATGCTGAACTTCAGAATCAGGGTCAGGGTCCACTACTGGAGCAGCGTTTCTCAACCTCAGCAGCTTTAAAATGTGTGGAGTTCAACTGTTGAAGTCACACATCTTAAAATGGCCGAGGTTGAGAGTCACTGCCCTGGAGTGTTTCTAACCCCTCCCTTCCCCACGGATGCCAGGTGAAGCAGCTCCGCCTGGAGCGAGAGCGGGAGAAAGCCATGAGGGAACAAGAGCTGGAGATGCTGCAGCGGGAGAAAGAGGCGGAGCATTTCAAGACATGGGAGGAGCAAGAGGACAATTTCCATCTTCAGCAAGCCAAGCTACGGTAAGCGGGGCCAACGGATGGAAGCTAGGTCTTCAGGGGACAGAGAAATCAAGTTCCCAAGTGTAAAAGAATAATAAAACCACTTGCTGAACTTACTAGTCCTCAGCATAATTCTCAGATCTGAACTGCCAGTATATTTCTTTGAAGTCCAAGGGAAGCAAAAACCTTCCAATATGATCAGTTGAAGAGCAGGGATCGCCTAACGGTGAAACATCTAGTTTGGAATATCTTGGGTTCTCCAACTGCTAGGATTTGGGAGAATGGTTTCCTTTAGTCAAGAAGACTCCGCAGTATTGGATCAGATGGATCAGGAGCTTGATTTGAGCTTTCCTTCATATTTTCCATCAAATCCAGCTTTGTAATCATATTTACAAGCATAGGAGCTCTTTGAAAGAGCCGCTGACTAATCTTACTGAGGTACTAGGTATTATATATATATGGCATTATAGTGAATCTTGAATTCAGTGGAAACTGCCCATTAAGGTTGTAAGTCCATAAAGTTGTAAAATCACCCATGTGACCAAGCTGAACCTTTTTTGCGGCTGCTGTTTAATGACCACCACACTCATGAAGCAAACCCATTGTTTGCTGCAGGCCAGTTTTGCTGAAATCTGGAAGTAAATGCTGGTTATTAGCCAAAATGTTGTAAAAAATATGGTCATGTGACTATGAGTCACTACAAACAGCAATAAATGCAGAGCGGTTGCTGAGCACCTGACATGTGGTCATGTCACCATGGAGGGGGGTGGCAGTCAGTGCTTTGAACCAGGTTGTTAAGCACCTGGGGGGGGGAGGTAGGTCTGTTGTAACACCGATCAGTCATGGAGTGTCTGGTTGTAAGTTGAGGATTGCCTGTAGTTATACAATAATAATGTATAATATGTTAGCTAATATTAGGCACGGCTTTAGATGTTCTGATAGTTAGGCTATTTGATCTCATCATCAAAGATTGTCCCATCCACTGATGTTGCACAAATTGGTAGCACTTAAGTGGCTTTTGCCAGCTTATCATGATGTCTCTGGAAGAAGAAAAAATATCAGCCTGAAAAAATGAAGATTTAAGTATTTAAATACTATCGTATGGCAGTTTTACTTTGTGCAGCAGAAACGTGGACACTATTTGCTTAGGATCAAGAGGAAATGGAGGCATTTCAGATGAGATCTTTCAGGACAAACCTGTCATTCCTTTAAACATTTGATGACAAAATGAGGACCCTTGATAGGCAGATAGGCAGGCAACAGCCCCACAATTAAAAATATGATCCAGCAATCATGCTTTTGTTGGCTTGGACGTGTCTGCAGGATGGACACAGCAAGCCTGTCTAGATGACTATAGAAAGTGATGTCCACTTAATTGGAAAGTTTTTTTAAAATATCGCTCCCCCCCCCCCCAAGACCTGAACCACAGGGTTACAGTTTAATATCATAAAACCTGCTATATCAGCTTGGGATAGAGATCACTATAAGAGGTACCTCCGTTGCTGCCATACCGTTTCCATTGGTGATACCTTATAATTTGTGCTCTGTCCTGCCAGGACTGGAAAACCTGAAAGAATGAATGAATCCTACTGTCTGTATGCAGCAATAACTTTGAACAGTTGATGCCAGCAATTATATTCAGAATTAAGACAGAAAGTTGCCTTACCTGTAAGGGCATTTTGTCTGTTGCACCAAGATTGTCTGCTCTGATCAGCAAGATGATTCTAGAGGATAGCAAGGAAAATTCCTTTCTTTGGAGATGTCTGAGATCTAACTTTGGATACCCACCAGATGTAGAGCTATTGAACCCTTCCCAAAATCTTTATTCTGAGCTCCATTGCTCTGACCCTTTTTCCTGGATATCCCTTTTCTGGCAGCTCCAAAATCCGGATCCGAGATGGGCGGGCCAAGCCAATTGATCTCTTGGCAAAATACATCAGTGCTGAAGACGATGACTTGGCAGTGGAGATGCATGAGCCTTACACATTTCTAAATGGACTCACCGTCTCCGACATGGAGGATCTACTAGAAGACATCCAGGTATCCAGCCGATGGTGGCTGTCCTGTTCTTTCAGGAGGGAGAGAAAGGTCTTCCTGTCCCTGATTCAAAGTTTGTCCAGCTCAGCTTTCCTCTCCTCGGTGGCTTGCAAATATATTAAGGCTCAGATACCCAGCCATCTGGAAGATAACAGGTAGTCCTCAACTTATGACCATAATGGAGCTTGCCCATTATGGACGTAAGTCATGACAGTTGTAAAGCAGGTCACCCACATAACCAACCTAATTTTATGACTTTTTTTGAGCTGGTCATTAAACGTGATGAGCTGGTTTTGCCATAAACCCAAAGCAGAAGCTGGTTTTCAGCAAAAATGTTGTAAGTCAAGGTGGCATGACCATGGAATGCTGCAAACGGTCATAAATGCAGACCAGTTGCTGAGTGGCTGACATCATGTAATCACAGGGCTGTGGCCACTGGAACTTTGGAACCAGGTCATCAAGGCCTTTGGGAGGGAAGGAGCTGTCCTAAGTTTGAATGGAAGCCAAGTGGCCGGTCATAAGTCGAGGACTACCTGGAGGAGGCTGGGCTAGTTAACAATTGCAATTTAATACAACCATGAAACTTGTAGCTAAGCAATTTGTCTAGTCCAGATGACTATAAACAAAAGGAAAGAATAAATGCAAATTATTTTCAAGAAGCTATTTTGCTACAGTGTTTTCCAGTTTCTTCTCTCTGCTTTTCTTCCTTTTTTCAAGTTTAATTTTTTTGTCAAGTACTATGTCCCCCCCCCCCATTCTCTCCTCCCCATTTGGCAGGAGAAAAAAAAATTAACTTTTGCAGATATGCCTACTGTCCCTGTTATAACATCCATTCCTCCCTCGCTTCAAATTACAAGAAGAGATAACAGTTGAAAACAAGCATTGTAGCTGCTTTGTTCTTTCTTTCTTTCTTTCTTTCTTTCTTTCTTTCTTTCTTTCTTTCTTTCTTTCTTTCTTTCTTTCTTTCTTTTCTCCCTCTTCTCATCTCTTTTCCCCTGTTGTTTCAGGTTTACATGGAATTAGAGCAAGGGAAGAATGTGGATTTCTGGAGAGACATGACCATCATCACTGAAGATGAAATAGCCAAACTCCGGAAACTGGAGGCTTCTGGGAAAGGACCAGGTAGGGGCAGAAAGACAAAAAATTAGGACTTAGTTAAGTCCAGCCAAAGATCGTTCCTTATCGATTGCTGGTTTTTAGCAAAATAAGGTATTTTCCATTTTCTGAAGGCATTTGATATTACCCATTCTACTGAACTCTAGTCCCTCTTCATATTCTCATCAGTACTATTTATTTTATATATTTGTTTGTTTAATCAAATTTAGATACTACCCATCTCACCATCCAAATGACTTTGGGCATTTTTACAGATAAAAGCCATAAAATCATATAAAAGGAATACAATTCAAAACAGATTTTATTTACTCCTCTCCTCAGGCCTGGCCAACTGGGGAATTTTACATTGGCAACTAATTGCACTTCCAAGACTTTTCTGGAAAGATCATATTTGGCAAATGTTGTTTCCAACAGAGATCAGGATGATCAGAGTCCCCGTCATTCCTACACCATCCCTCTTTGATAGATCTCTACTTTGCTTCTGAAAAGCATCATCTTTTCTTCTAGATTGGGCAGAGCATAGTAAACACCACCAACAGTGTGGCTTTTATGTGTTTCTCTCTTTGTTTTAACCAGACTGTCATGGTTCCGATAGATAGAACCGAATAAATCAGAACTCCAAGGCTTGCATCTTCCTCAAAGAACATGTTTATTGGATACAAAATATCGGCACAGTCAAAAGTGAAACCAAGTCTGAAATCCCCTCCAAAGAGTTACACTATTACAAAGTAAAAGTTCCCACCTCAGGGCTATGCAATGACTATGTTACCCCATAGAATAGTTTGGCAGGCTTTCTAACAAAACATCCAACCCTCTTCTTCTCAGCGAGTGAGTGACCTTGATTCCCACAGGACACAATATTGTTTAGACTAACAGAGATACTCCATTCCCCCACCCTATTGTGTGTGGCAACTAGAACCAGCAAGATGGCTGCAGCCAGGTTCGTTGACACAGACACTCTTCACATTATTGCCAAGTTCATTTCCTTGAATATCTGAGCGGACGTGAATACATTAATGTAGGGGCAATTTTTTCTTTTCTGTTACTTCTGTTCCATTTGAACAATCAAAGTGCGTCCTTCATTCATTGTACTCTGATTGGGTGAATCATCCTAGCAGTGTTGAACTTTGGATCCTAGAATTCCCTGCCATGAAGCTAAGGATTCTGGCAATTGAAGTCCAGTACTGCTGTGGGCACTCAGCTGAAGAAGCTTTAGAATCTAGGCAGTTTTGCTGTTTTATAATGGAAAATGTAAGGAAATATGGCTTGCTAGTTCTTTGAATAGACTTAGTGCAATTAAAATGAGCATCTGGATCATCCCATCTCCAAATATCCTTTCAAAATCCTGTAAAAAATATGTCGTGTCCTATTGTCTGAGATCAAGAGACACTCTTCCTGGCCACTGGAAACGATTGTCTCCATGTCCTCGTCTGGCCTACGGATTTAAGGAGTATCTTCCTCCAGTCATATGTTCCTTTTTTTGTGTCTTGCAGGAGAGCGCCGTGAAGGGGTGAATGCCTCAGTTAGTTCTGATGTACAATCTGTCTTCAAAGGGAAGACCTACAATCAGTTGCAAGTGATCTACCAGGGAATCGAGGGCAAGATCCTGGCTGGGGGACCCAACTTGGACATTGGCTACTGGGAGAGCCTGCTCCAGCAGTTAAAGGCATACATGGCACGGGCCAGGTAAATAGTCATGTACCTGGTTTATATCCACCTCCATCCAGAGGGGGGACTCAGTGGTTTATACCATGTTCCTTCCAAATGAGGCCAGACTTTCCCAAATGACTGGACCAAACCAGACTGGCTAGCATCCTGGCTAGCATCCTGGCTTTGGTGGAAACAATTGGCCTTATCAACCGTCCTTAGCTGATCTCAGAAAGTTAAGCAGCATCAGACAGGGGTTAGTGCTCCCTCTGGGGTTCACCATGAAGTCAGATCTGTAAACTTGATGGGAAAATTGAACCCATGTCCCAAAAGAAAGCATTGGTCAACCCCATCCATGTTGCTACCAGGAAAACTACATGGATTTATCCATGTTGTCTTCAGGAAAATAAGCTTAGTTCAAAAGAGACTTTTAATCCAACTGGAAGGTGCAGGTTGGGGATGGAGAGGTGCCTCTTAAGATTAACTAAAGAGGGTGTTTTAGTGGGCTTGATATATTTTTTGAAGCATTCATTATATCGGAACAGCCACAGAAGAGCTCAGCCATATTGGGATTATAAATGTGGGGATGGAAAGGAGGAGAATGACGAAAATGACATTAGAAAGGGCACATTGCCAAAGAATAGTGAATATCAAGGCAAAATTTTAAGAGAGCTGTGCTGTCCCAGTACGATGCCTGTCGCCGGAGCATCATTGGCGTGGGGCCCTTATTCAGGAAATTGGAATCAGACTGAATAGATTTCAAGGAAGGAGTATGAAGCTTGGCTGTCATTTCCTGCTACAGACTCTTTCTCTCTCACACATACATAGACACACATCTGGCTACAAGAGCTAATTCTGTGTTCTCTCCCTCCTGGGTCACAGGCTGCGAGAACGGCATCAGGACGTCCTGCGCCAGAAGCTGTACAAGCTCAAACAAGAACAAGGTGTGGAAAGTGAACCCCTTTTCCCCATCATGAAAAAAGAGCCGCCATCCCCAGAAGCTGCCAGTAGCAGTCACAGGTAACTATTGGGATGCTGTTACCTGCTTCCTTCATCCTTAACACTTAACGTTTTCATTCCAGTGCATAAAGACTCATGTGCGTTTTCTATTTATAGACATAGCTGCTATGTGACATAAATAACATTATCAGAGCAGCATTATCCTTCCTACGCAAGGAGAACCCTTGCTGTTTTATATATTCTTTAGTATGTTGCTCAATCTGGGCTCCCTCCAGATACATGGACTTCAGCTCCCAAAATTCCCTGTGGCCCTTACTGAGAGTTCTGGGAGTTGAAGTCCAGATATCTGGAGTTACCCAATTTGAGAAAAGCTGCCCTAGTAAGTGTGTTTTGGATTATATGTATTTGTTAAATTCAAATGCTGCCCATCTTGCCATCCAAAGCAACCCTGGGCCGCTTACAATACAGTGAAATATAAAAACAATTATACACATAAGACAAATTAAAATTACAAGGATTAAATACAGACTTATAGATTATAGACGTTGCTTAATGTTTATTTGTTCAGTGACTAACATTACAGTGTGATAGTGCTGAACAAAGAGGCTTACAACCAGTCATTGAAGTTTTGGCCACTGCAGCACCCTTCAGTCATGGGAGTAAAATTCAGGTCCACATTTATGACTGCCCGTCTACCTACTTTTGGCTGCCCGTCTACCTACTGCTGCTAGCTGTGACATGGCCCTGTTCACCACCATGTCCACAGCACTGTGTGCCACTACTGTACTGTCTAGGGTCTTCTTTTGCACTGAGGTTTCTCTTGTGTCCTGCCCAGAACATTTACTTATTTATTTGTTTATTTATTTATTTATTTTTGCAAAAGAAGCTTGGTCTGCAAAAAAACAGTAACTGTGAGAGGGACCTTGGAGTCCTAGTGGACGATCACTTGACTATGAGCCAGCAGTGTGCAGCAGCAGCCAAAAAAGCTAATACAATCCTGAGTTGTATAAACAGAGGCACAGAATCAAGATCACGTGAAGTATTAGTGCCACTTTATAAAACCCTAGTACAGTGGTTCTCAACCTGTGGGTCGGGACCCCATTTGGGGTCAAACGACCATTTCACGGGGGTCGCCAAACCACGCTGTCTGCCATTTTTTTCCCTTTTCTCTAGCTGTCCTACTCCCTCTTATTGGTGGCCACACCCACTTGGGGGTCACCACAACATGGGGAACTGTATTATGGGGTCATGGCATTAGAAAGGTTGAGAACCACTGCCCTAGTAAGACCACACCTGGAATACTGCAGCCAATTTTGGTCACCATATCACAAAAAAGATGCTGAGAGACTGGAAAAATTCAGAGAAGAGCAACTAAGATGATCAAAAGCCTGGAAACCAAAACATATGAAGAACGGTTGCAGGACTTGGATTTGGCTAGTCTAAAAAAAAAAGAAGAAAATAGGGGAGACATGATAGCAGTATTCCAGTATTTGAGGGGGCTGCCATAAAGAAGAGGGGGTCATGTTATTCACCAAAGCACCGGCAGGAAGGACGAGAAACAATTGTTGAAAAATGATCAAAGAGAGAAGCAACCTAGAATTAAAGAGAAACTTCCTGACAGTGAGGACAATTGACCAGTGGAACAGCTTGCCTCCAGAAATCGTGGGCGCTCCATCACTGGAGGTTTTTAAGAAGAGGCTAGACAGTCACTTGTCTGAGATGGTATAGGTTCTCCTGCTTGAGCAGGGGGGCTGGACTAGAAGACCTCCAATGTCCCTTCCAGCTCTATTCTATTCTTCTTCTTTAGCCAGGGCCTCCTTTTATGCACCTGGCTTCTTTCATGAAAGAAGACTCTGGCTGGAGCACACAAAAAAAGTCCTGGCTCCACCGATATGAAAGGAGGCTCCGGATGATAAGGCAGGGACGTGCAGTGTGGCATTCAGATCTGGGCAGTGGGAGCAACTGGTGACAGTGAGTAGCCAGAGGGTCAAAAGGGCAGAGATTTGGGGAGGGAGGAATAGGCAGGTTGGGGGAGTTCAAGAGGAAGCTAAACTAAAAGAATACATTGTATATTTCCCTCTTGATTGTAAAGCCATGATTACCATTTTTAGAGAGGCAAAACCTGGGTCTCATCAAAATATATGACCCTTTAGAGCAGGGTTGGGGAACGATGGCCCTTTTAGGACTTGAAAACTTCAACATGCTGGCTCAGGAATGCTGGGAGTTGAAGTCCACAAGTCATAAAAGGGCCATCGTGCCCCACCCCTGTTTTAGAGGATTACATAAGCCAAAGTTATAATAATAATAATAATAATAATAATAATAATAATAATAATAATAGTAATAGTAAAGTTGGAAGGGACCTTGGAGGTCATCTAGTCCAACCCCCTGCTCGGGCAGGAAACCCTACACCATTTCGGACAGATGGCTGTCCAGTCTCTTCTTAAAAACTTCCAGTGTTGGAGCACTTACTGCTTCTGGAGGCAAGCTGTTCCACTGATTAATTGTTCTCACTGTCAGGAAGTTTCTCCTTAGTTCTAGTTGCTTCTCTCCTTGATTAGTTTCCACCCGTTGCTTCTTGTCCTGCCTTCAGGTGCTTTGGAAAATAGCTTAATTCCCTCTTCTTTATGGCAGCCCCTGAGATATTGGAATACTGCTATCATGTCCCCCCTTGTCCTTCTCTTCGTTAAACTAGACATACCCAATTCTAGCAACCGTTCCTTATATGTTTTAGCCTCAGTCCCCTAATCATCTTTGTTGCTCTTCTCTGTACTCTTTCTAGAGTCTCAACATCTTTTTTACATCGTGGTGACCAAAACTGGATGCAGTATTCCAAGTGTGGCCTTACCAAGGCATTGAAGAGGGGTATTAATACTTCACGTGATCTTGATTCTATCCCTCTGTTAATGCAGCCTAGCACTGTGTTGGCCTTTTTGGCAGCTGCAGCACACTGCTGGCTCATATTTAAGTGATTGTCTACTAGGACTCCGAGGTCCCTCTCACAGTTACTACTATTGAGCATGGTGCCACCTATGCTGTACTTGTGCATTTGGTTTTTCTTGCCTAAATGTAAACCTTGCTTTTTTCACCATTGAATTTCATTTTGTTAGTTAGTGCCCAGTGTTCAAGTCTGTCCAGATCCTTTTGTATCTTAAGCCTGTCTTCTGGAGTGTTGGCTATTCCTGCCAGCTTGGTGTCGTCTGCAAATTTGATGAGTTCCCATCTATCCCTTCATCCAAATCGTTGATGAAGATGTTGAAGAGTACTGGGCCCAGAACAGAGCCCTGGGGCACCCCACTACAAATAGACCTGGTTCCTTGCCTGAAATTGTTTACAATTACAGTGTTTCCCAACCTTGGAAAGTTGAAGATGAGTGGACTGCAATTCCCAGAATCCTCAGCTGGCTGTGGAATTCTGGGAGTTGAAGTTCATATAGCTAGAAATTGCCAAGGTTGGAGAATCCTGATTCAGGAAGTGGGCTTGTTACCCTAGGGCAGGGGTCGGCAACCTTGGCTCTTTTATGACTCGTGGACCTCAACTCCCAGAATTCCTGAGCCAGCCATGCTGAGGGGAAAGGGAGGGGTTTCCAAGCTGAGCCATGCTGGCTCAGGAATTCTGGGAGTTGAAGTCCACAAGTCATGAAAGGGCCTCAGTTCCCCCATGCTGGCTCAGGAATTCTGGGAGTTGAAGTCCACGAGTCATAAAAGAGCCGAGGTTGCCTACCCTTGCCCTAGGGAGATGAAAAGCAAATGAAGGTTTGAACGTGAAAATGGTTCAAGTCAAAAAGCTGTAGAAGTCCTGGCTTCCCCAATTGCTGCACTCTTTTTGCTAAAGAGATGGGCTACCCTCTTCCCCATCTTCTCCTCAGGCTAGTGCCAGAGGAAAAAGCCCCAGCACAGCCTGGTCCCTCCTCCGCGGAGCCTCGCACTGAACCGGAAGCTGAAGCCAAAGCTGAGGGAGACGGAGAAGCAGTGCTGATTGAGGAGGACCTGATTCAGCAGAGCCTGGATGACTACGATGCCGGCAAATACAGTCCCCGGTTGCTCACCTCCCACGAGCTCCCCTTTGATGCCCATGTGGTGGACGCGGACGAGGATCTCCAGCGCCTCCAGCTGTCCCGGCAGCAGCTCCAGGTCACAGGTAAGGAGTGGGAGGATGGCGGAAGACTTCATCTGGGTTCCATAATGGCAGTGTATGTAATGCAGTCAATGTGTATATGGCGCAGTGCCACAAAAGGAATTCACGTTCTGAAATGCAAAGGGCCTGGGGCAGGGGTAGGCAACCTGGGCTCTTTTATGACTCGTGGACTTCAACTCCCAGAATTCCTGAGCCAGCATGGCTGGCTCAGGAATTCTGGGAGTTGAAGTCCACGAGTCATAAAAGAGCCCAGGTTGCCCACCCCTGGCCTGGGGAAAGAAGAAAGGAGAAGAATAAATCTCCCATTTCCAAAATGCCCAGCTAGCCCTCCCTCATCCCCCAGCCCCATCTGAAACATCCTTTTAATACCAAATAATAAATTAATTAGACAACAGAAATTAAAACAAATTATCCCTGAATCCAGAAGGAAGACAAACGAATAGATGTAGTCCTCGACTTACGAACATAATAGAGCCTGGAATTTCTGTCATAAATCATGTCCGTCATACGTTGAGGCACCATATGATCAAACTGATTTTATGATCTTTTTTGTGGTGATCTTTATGTGAGAACGCATTCTTATGGGTTTTTTTCCCCAGAAAGTAATAAAAAAGGCCAATTTCTGGCAAAAAATATAAATTGCATCACATGACTGTTGCAATAAGCCGGTGGCTAAGCATCTGAAATGTAGTCATTCTGCCAGGATCAGAACTCCAGAACTGGGTCGTAAGTTCCTTTTAGGGAGACCATCGTAACTTCAAATGGTTGCTAAGCAACCAGTTGCTAAATGAGGCCTACCTGTATTGCATTTACTATCACAATCCTGAATGGGAAAATGACAACAGAAAGCCTCTTGATGGAGACATTTTAAGGAGCCTCCTACTGCTATTTACATGCCAGACTTTTAAATATTTTTAAAAAAGTAAGGTAGATTTGGCCATCATTTCAAGTTTTTGGCATAACTCAAACTTCACCCTTCACATTTCAGGGCAATTGAAATCAGATCTTTAATTTTAAAAAAATGAGGCTGGAAACCAGCTTGATTAGAAATCTGTTTTAAGCAGGCTATAAAATTGAATATGTTTGTTCTAGTCTGTCAGTCCCCTAATCAAAATTGTACGATATTTTATTTATTTATTAGATTTGTGTGCTGCCCATCTCGTCTAGAGGCAACATAATGTTTATTGTGGTTGGGATAGAAGTCCAGATCAATATGAAATATTTATTAAAGTTCAGCTACTTTAATGGTGGAATACAATTGGGTGACAGCTTACTGCTGTAGAATCCCATAGTGAAGATGTTCCCAGATATATTTGGGCCTTCTGTTTCTTACCAGTCACAGGGGCTAAAAAATTGTAAAGATAAAACATGACCTCCAAGGCCCCTTCCAACTTTATTATTATTAGATGTTTAGGCATTCTCTGGCCAGTCGTGCACAAGGCCACACACCAATCCCAGTGTTCTCCCCTTACAGGTGATGCTAGTGAGAGTGCTGAGGATATTTTTTTCCGCCGGGCCAAAGAAGGGATGGGAGCCGATGAGGCCCAGTTCAGCGTGGAAATGCCCTTGACCGGCAAGGCCTACCTGTGGGCTGACAAGTACCGTCCTCGCAAGCCGCGTTTCTTCAATCGAGTGCACACCGGATTTGAGTGGAACAAGTATAACCAGACCCACTACGATTTTGACAACCCCCCACCCAAGATTGTGCAGGGTTATAAGTTTAATATCTTCTACCCGGACCTGATTAACAAACGTTCCACCCCAGAATATTTTCTGGAAGCTTGCCCAGACAACAAGGACTTTGCCACCCTGCGCTTCCATGCTGGACCTCCCTACGAAGATATTGCCTTCAAGATAGTCAACCGAGAGTGGGAATACTCTCACCGGCATGGCTTCCGCTGCCAGTTTGCCAACGGCATCTTCCAGCTCTGGTTCCACTTCAAACGCTACCGTTACAGGCGCTGAAGAGGTGACTGGGAGTGGGCTGATTTTATGATGGGACAAACATGGTGGATAAGAGGCACAGAGAACTGGTTCCTTGAGCATGGACCAAAATGGCGGCTTTCAAGATAGGCGCATCAGACTTGATAGCTTTTGTAAAGTGTTAGGACTACAACTGTCAGAAATTTATCTTTTTTAAAAAATGTTTCAAGGCTGCCCTGATGTTGAGCAGCCATTCAGCTCTGGGGGAACTGTCTTTTTGGCAGTAGATGGAGCTCTTTCCTCTGCTAGGCAGTGACGTCTGAGACCTGTCAATTTAAAGTGCCTAACCGAGGTGGCTGATATCTTGACTGAGATTATCCTTGTTTTCTGACAATGTATAGATATGGGAAGGTGGGAGAAAGTGTCCAACTATGATAAAGATGTTGGATATGTGCTACTTGTTTGGTATTTTTTACTCCAATATGGGAGAACGTAAAAGGGAAAAGACAGGCTTCCTGTCCTAAAGAGGGCTGTAAGAAGACTCAGTTACGCAAGTATATGCACAAACAGTCTTCTCCAGCTGTGCAGATTGTTCAGTACTGATCAATAAACTAAGCTGAAGGATGCAGCTATGAGTAGCAGCTGGTAACTTTCGAAATGGATTAAATAAATGGTTACAAAAGAAAATAGTTCCATCAGTGGTAGAAATGTAGGGACACTGTGACTCAGAGGGGCTTTTTTTTTGAAAGGGGGTGGGAGTTGAATAACAAGAATGTTGTGTGGGGAGTGGGGCAAGCCACAGCAACATCAAAATGGTAAACTGCACAATGTGGTCATTACCCAAATGCCTCCATTACATATTGGCCTCACATTTGACACAAGGCTTAATGTGTTGACATCGTCAGACATATCCTTTGCCCCTACAGGCACCTATGGAGGAGGAGTGGACCCTTTGCTCTTTAAAGGTTTGCCGAAAGCAACCCATGTCTTCAATTTCTTTGACCTAGTTGTTTGGATTCCTGTGGTGCGCTGTATATTATAACAAGTATGGTCATTGCTGGTTAATTTTGGCTGACGATGGCTTAGATTGACTCCTTTCTATCTGTGTCCGGTCTGATAAACAATCTCCCAGCCAGCACTGGATCATGGCTAGGATCTGTGATAATCAAAAACAGTTTGGTGTCGTGGTTAGAAACCAGGGGACCTGAGTTCTAGTCCCGCCTTAGGTCTGATAAAATGGCTGGGTGACTTTGGGCCAGTCAGCTAACATACTTCACTCAGGGTTGTTCTTGTGAGGAAAATAAAGGAATATTCAATATGTTTGTTACTTGAGTTGTATATGGAGGAAAAAAAGGTAGGATAATTAAAAAAAACCCAGTTATTCTCAGATCAGTGTTCCTTGAATTGTGGTCCTCCAAAATCCTCTCAGGGATCCTTGAAATCAATGTTATTTGTCAGCCTATCTTGATAAATAATATAATATTAAAAATTATACTTTACCTCTGCTAAAAAAGGAAGTTTGGAGACCAGGAGATAGTTGTGTAGCACCTTTGCATCCAGGAAGCGCTTCTTAAGCGTGGGATGTACCAGGGCCTCTTTCAAGGCTGCTGGGTTTGCCCCCTCCCACAAGAAGAGGAACTGAGAAAAGGGCAGGAAAGGTGACATGTGAGGAGAAGTGCACATGCATTGAAATCCAGGGCCGGCCCAGTTGGCAGCATCTGGGCAAAGAATATAAACTTGTACAGAAAATCACCCAGCCAGGCAGAAGGTTTGGTTAATCATCCTTCTGAACCCAGTTGCAATCCTAAGCTGTGTCAGTAGAAATATAGTGTCAAGAACATTGTTCTCTTTTTTCTATACTCTTCTGCATTCAGTACTGGGCACTGCGTTTTGAAAATCACATTGATAAAAGTATGAGAGGAAAGTAATCAAGATGGCAATGCAACGATAAAGAGGCTAGAAAGAAATTGCTTTGAGAAATGTTTGGAGACAGATACGTTTAGCCTAGAGAAAAGGAGACTCTAGGGAGACATGATGGTGGTGTTTAAGTATCTGAAAGGCTGCTAAGTAGAAAATGGGGCTGTTCCAAAAGACAGTAAAAAAATTAGTAAATACCCGCATTTCCCTGAAAAATAAAACCGGGTGTTATATTAATTTTTGCTCCAAAAGACTCATTAGGGCTTATTTTCCGGTTAGGGCTTATTTTGGGGAAAATACTGTACTAAATGCATCTATCTGGCTGACAATCTTAACTGGGGCTTATTTTGGGGGTGGGGCTTATATTACAAGCGTCCTGAAAAATCATGCTAGGGCTTATTTTCCGGTTGGGTCTTATTTTCAGGGAAATAGGGTATGAATTACATACTGTATAGTACAGGGGTAGGCAACCTTGGCTCTTTTATGACTCGTGGACTTCAGCTCCCAGAATTCCTGAGCCAGCATGTGGTCCATTCATGACTTGTGGAGTTCAACTCCCAGAATTCCTGAGCCAGCATGGCTCAGCTTGGAAACCTCTCTTTCCCCTCAGCATGGCTGGCTCAGGAATTCTGGGAGTTGAAGTCCACGAGTCATAAAAGAGCCAAGGTTGCCTACCCCTGGTATAGTAGAAATAGATTCCAGTTTCTAATAGATTATATGTCACTGAGTTATTTCCAGTCCTAACCACCCAGACAGATTTTCTCCATGATCTGTCCCTAGCCTGGACTTTCAAGTATGCCAATGGTGACAACTAGTGCCCAACTGAGTCCATTTCTTACAGAACTGTTTAACAATGAAACAAACTGCCTTGGAAGATGCCTAAGTAGAGATTGGATGGCCTTCTGTCAGGGATGCTGCCCTAGGATTCCTATATGGGGCATTTACTTAAGACTATAATTGAGCCCCAAATTTCCATGGCTAAGCAAGACAATTGTTAAGTGAGTTTTGCTCCATTTTACGACCTTTCTTACTACAGTTATTAAGTGAATAACTGCAGTTGTTAAGCTAATAACATAGTTGTAAAGTGAATCTGGCTTCCCCATTGATTCTGCTTGTCAGAAGGTCACAAAAGGTGATCACATGACCCTGGGACATTGCCAAGCATCCAGATTTTGATTGCATAGTCATGAGAACACTGCAACAGTTGTTAGTGTAAAAAATGGTCATAACTAATTATTTTCAGTGCTGTTGTAACTTCAAATGATCACTAAACAAATGGTTGTAAGTCAAGGATTACCTATGATTGGATCTACTCTCATTCCACCATAGTAGGGAGCAATATAGTGGTCCTTGACGTACAATCACAATTAAGACTAGAATTTCTGTTGCTGAGCAAAGCAGTTTCTAAGTGTGTTGGGCCTGATTTTACAACTTATTTTGCCACGGTTGTTAAGTGAATCACTACAGTTAATTGAATCACACAATTGTTATGTGAATCCAGCTTGTCAGAAGCTAGCTGGCAAATTTACAAATGGTGATCACATAACCCTGGGATGCTGCAACCTTTGTAAATACATGCCAGTTGCCAAATGCCCAAATTTTGATAGCAAGAAGGCGGGGACGTTTGCGATGGTTGTAATTGCGAGGATTGATTGTAAGTCACTTTTTTTCAGTGCCATTGTAAGTTCAAAAGTTGCAGAACAAATGCCAGTAGCTGTAAGTCAAGGACTATCTGTGTAGAACTGTGTAGATTTTATGAGTTCTTATAGACATGGCAGACTGGACTGCATCTATTTTTGGTTTCACTAGTATGATGACTAATTTGTGAAGCATTCAAACTACGCAAAGGATGTTCGAACAAGCAGAACACACTTCCTCAAAGCATTAAAGCAGCCACAACTTCTGGAAGCTTTGGCACATTGTTCTAGACGCGTTCGCTAGCTGTCTTACATTGTGCATGTGCAGACAGCGCCTTCCACCAACACCACTAGCAAATGACAGTACTATGGTTATGCCTGCACACACTTTCATGGAAAACCTTTCAAGACAATTGCATCAACTTTTCAATGTTCTGCAAGGTGGACATTGTTTGCATCAATGCACTTTGCAATTGCCGTTTTAAATACAATCCGTGCCCCTAATAAATACTATAAACTATCCAATTCCAGTACCAAAGCTTTAGTTTATGCAGTCTAACCTTTTCTCATTTTCACCACCAGCCCCCCCTGTATCGTCAGAGTCATGATGGCTGTTTGTGTAAGAAGTGAACAAAACATCCATGTTTAGAAGCAAGGAACCCATGTAACTTTTCAGCTTTACCTGAAAAGATTTGGTGTCTTAGCTCTACATTTTGCAGACTATTGCAGCAAAAATATGTGTGGAATCAGGTATTTTTACTTTAGCATAAAGGCATTCACCCACACATTTTCTATGCTCTGATCTGCTTATTATCTTTGCCCTCTCCAAATATATTGTCTATCTGAAGGGGGCAGGTATGTCTGTAGAGAGGGGAAGATGCTCAAGTAGGAAGGCTGTGCATTGTTAATAGAGTCCTAAACAGAGAGCCACTCCAGTGTATTGCAAGTCAGAAACTGGGAGGTTGGGAGTTCTAGTCCCATCTTAGGCCTGATAACCTTGGGCCAGTCATTCTCTCAGCCCTAGCAAGAAGGCAATGGCAAACATCTTGCCACAAAAACTGCAGGGCAGGCAATCTCTAGAAGTTAACACTGACTTGAGGGCATAATAATAATGGCGACTTACTCAAATAAATTGATGGAGAATCTTTCCTTTTCCTAAGGAAGTTGAAGGAAACATCCAATTTCTCTACCAACATCCTGGTTAGAGAATTTTGAGAGGCGAATATGATCCGCCCTTCTGTGCTTCTGCTTTAATCAATGCTAAAATTCTCCTGGAATGGGGTTCAATACCCAGCCCATACTGTTGCGTTTCTTTTGAATTTCAGTCAGTCTCAACTTCTGAGTCAGCCTGAAGTTCATCAGGGTTTTTTTCACACGGAAGAAAGGCAGTGAATAGAGACCCATCAACTCCTTCTAACAAACAAATGAATAATTTGTTTCATAACTGCTTAATGGACTTATTGGAAGGAACTGAGTTCCAAATGGAATTCAACGTCTGCTTTTGTACATTTAAAAGATTTAAAAGTCTGATGAGGTAACAGGATCTAGAAGATGCTCCTACTTAGTTTCTGTAAATTTAAACTTCTCCCGTTTCTCAGCATTTCTCCTCCTTCAATTGCAGTTTAGCTGCTGCCAGTCTGTCTAGGGAGACTGAAGGGTTCATGATCTTGGGTGAGGCACCAGTTACCATTTTTGGGTTTCACTCTCCAGACATAACTTACACGAACGAATCTTCATCCTCATACTTACCCTTATTTTTCTATGTTTGTAGAATGCCATTTTTTTAAAGCATTCGTCTACTTTTAAGGTTCTGTTTTTTTTTTATGAGGGAATGAAATGTTACCCAGTTCTAGCTGTGGTTTGGAGTTCATTCAGTTGATTACTCTAACTCACCCCTTCCAACACTTAACTTTGTTCTATTTATTTATAATTGTTTATTGAGATTTCTTCACAAAATAAACTCCAAATGGAAAGAAGTCTGTCAACAGAAAATCCTATCAAATTGCTAAAACACAATTCCAAATACATGCTAAAATGAAGAAAAGTATTTGTAATGCTGTAAGTATTTATTTATCAAATTTTGAAACTGCCTATCTCCCTCACAGAGAATACAAGTAATGCAGCTTATAAAACCAGACATATCGCTGGAAAGCAAACCCACAAACTTATTTTGGCCATGCCCATAGATCCAACTTATTGGAAAAAACACATGCTTGGATTCAGGTAGTCTTCAAATTACGGCCACAACTGAGCCCAAAATTTCTGTTCCTAAGTGGACCACTTGTTGTGAACTTTGCCCCATTTTACGACCTATCTTGCCACAGTTGTTAAGTGAATCACTGCTGTTGTTAAGTTAGCAACATGGATGTTAAATGAAACTGGCTTCCCCCACTGACTTTGCTTGTCAGAAGGTTGAAAAAAGGGAATCACGTGACCCTGGGACACTGCAACCATCGTTCAGTAAATACATGTCAGTTGCCAAGTTCCTGAATTTTGATCACGTGGCCATCAGGATGCTGCAATGGTTGTGTGAAAAACCATCATAAGTCACCTTTTTTCAGTGCCTTTGTAACTTTGAAAGAGTTGTAAGTCCAGGAGTCCATGGAAAAAAGAAAAGAGACTGTCAAAAAACACAGTGGCTAGACAACATCATAGCATAACAGGCAGAACATAAAACAACTGAAAAGTCATGCAAGATTGGAAAACGTACAGAGAGCTGGTCCATAGAATCAGTGAGAATCGGACGCAGTTGAACAGATCCA